TTCTTTCTAAGCATTCAAAGACAAAATCTATTTTTAAAGGAGTTTTTCCTTCGGATAGGTTACCAAAAACTATTTTAAAGTATCCCGCACTAATAATTACGAATACCGACACTTCAGATCAACCTGCAACTCATTGGATTGCATTTTATTTTGATAGTCGTAGGTCAGTAGAATTTTTCGATTCATATGGTCAATATCCCCAGAAAAAAGAATTTTTAAAATTTTTAAAATCTAACGCTTATAAATTTTGTTTTAATAAGTAACAACTACAGGGATACTTTTCCAATACCTGCGGACATTGTTGTATGCTGTACGGTCTTTTTAAAAGTAAAAAGAAAACACTAAATTTTTTTAAAGAAAATTCAAGAGAAACGACTTTTCATTTAATGATAAATTAATAATACAAATTTTTAAGAGCCATTTTAAAAAATAAAAAACATATATATTTAAGTAAAATTAATTCGTTTTATTTATGGTTTTGGAGCAATACGTTTGCTTAACTTATAATATTTAATCATTAGACTAAGGGCTTCCTCTTTCAGTGCAGGCAGCATATGAGGCATCATCGTCGCTCCAGGGACAAAGTTTATAATGGAATCCAAACTTCGAATGGATCAACTCTTTTTCCTCTTAATCCTCCAAAGTAGCTTTTAGGAACTCCATCCTTTGTAGGTGTCGCTCGAAAAGCATGCCTTAAAATTGCATTAAGAATAGTTCTATCTGTTGAGCGTACATTTTTAAGGAAAACTATTTCTTTTTGAGACTGATTTAAGACTGTTGTTGGATTTAAAAACTCAGCTCTTTATATTGAAGAATTTTATTTACTTTACTTATTTACTGATAAAAATTCAATTTGAGCACAACTATCTCTGTTCAGATCTTTTCCTTTATATACCATATGAGTTATTCCATTCTCATTTAATATCCTAAATGGTGTCTTTGTAGAACATTTGTTCACATAACTTTTAGGTAGAAATATCCAAACATCTTTGTCGTCCTTATCAGTTAAATACAGAGCTGTTTTATCTCCATATGGTGTCTTTTTCAGCTTACATCCAGTGGTCTTATACTGAAATCCAATACATAGATTTTCAGTTTTTGTGTAGCCAATCACAGGCTTCACTTCATTTAAGGTCTCTAAGAAGTCCTATCAAATTCACCAAGAATAGTTGATAAAGTATTTACTTTTAATTTATATGCATACCATTTTTGATCAGCGTAAGATTGGATTCGTTGTGCACTAGTACCAAACTGTTGTATACTAATTCTTTAACCCGAAATTAGAATAAAGTCAGAAATAAATATCAGTATGTCTATCTCTTTTTATATTTATATAAATCTTTCAATAGCGTTAAAATAAAGTTAGTATATATAACGTAAGAATTGTCCCTCAAATGCTATATAAGATACGTTTTTTATAGAAAAGTCAGTTTATTTTTAAAAACATCGAAATGGTGAAGTATCATTGCGAGTTGTGTTCAGAAACAAAATCCCTTACTACTCGCAGCGGCCTAAAAGCGCATACCTTAAAAATACACAACTTCGCCTATCAGAAATCTAAATCCTCCTTTTATTATTGTTATTTCTGTCCTAAAGTACGGAAAATTTGGTTGCGATACGACTTTAATATGCATCGTCTATTGGTTCACAAGGCAGAGCTAAACAGTATTTGTAAGGCAAAGAAAAATTGTCCAATAAATAAAAAACAATTATAAGCCCTCAATTTTAAAATAGTTTTTACTTTATTTATCTTTATCCATCGTGTATTTATAATTAAAAAGTTAAGAATCTATATCAAATAAAACATGTAGTAATGCGTCGTCATCTCTATCATCCAGCAAAGTTAAATAATGGTAAGTCGGTGGCGGTTGAGGTCCCATAAGTTCTTCAAAGATGTGGTCGTCGTTAGGAAAAACCTCATCTTCTGGGCTGGATAGGTCGTCGTCCAATTGAAATTCCTGTGCACACTGAAATACATCTTAACCTTCTTCGTGTGTGATAAGGGATTCCAAAAAAGCCTGCGTGGTAGTCCCCAATGGAAACTGGCTCCACTCAAGAGACTCCAATCCTGGGTCCCTATTTTGGGTCGACGATGCAGCCGGTTGAAATACGCTTTGTAGGAGGCGATCAACCGAATCTTCTGCTTCGGAAACCTGCACAAGGTCCAGATCCGAGTTTTCGATTATTCCAGGTCAGTGGTCGGCACACACATACCATCACAAGTTTGCCTTGCATTAGTGTGAGTGTAACAAACACGAAGTTTGCGCGCGGCGTGCTGAAGCGAGACGTTTCTCTGCCGCAGCAACAAAAACGCGCGCCGAAGTTGAAGACCCATGCCGAAGTCACACGAACATGTACGTTATACGTGAGCGAGCAGAGGATGGGCAGAACACTTCCCTATGCTCACTAGATAGGCCGCTGCCGACCACTGTACCAGGTTGTCAATCTCAACCTCGTTTTCCGAATCGACAAATTCTACGGTTAGATCCATAGGTATGCAGTACTGTGGCATTTGAAGAACTGATCCTGAGCAATTTGAGTGGTGTCATTTTTATAGTCTAGAATGTTCACTTAACAGGTTGACATCTACAGGGAGTGCATACAGGCGATTGGTTCTCGAACATAAGGAGCAGCCCAATACCCCAGTAGAATGGTTATTAGAAGGAAAACGAACACAAAGATTGATAACAAGTTACCGGGGGTGAACGTGGTGTAGGAGGGGTTAGGATGTAGGTAAATATCGAAGGTGTACAACTTCGACATAGGTTAAGGAAAGGCAATCTCTGTGTAAGCAAGATATGAATAAATGGTCAGTTAAGGTCAGGCCAGCATTGGCATAAGATGTCGCCATGCAACAATTCGAATTTCCTAAGCCTTAAGCTAAGAGTAGCTATTAAAAGCGGTTGCGGAGGTTTTCAAGGCAGTTTTAAATGTATTTTGTATGAGTTGTTTTTAATTGCAAGCGTATATTCATACCATAATCAGTGTGTTTGGTATTCCACGGAACCCTCCCGTTTTATTGCATTTCAAATATTGTGACCCCTTGTTATCTTCTGAGAATGAGCAGGAGAAAGTGAACGTGGGTACCCACGAACCCGAATCTCACCCCCTCGAGTCCTTGCTCATGACTGCTTGTGCGCGAAGGTGTGAAATTTTAATTTTGTGAGTTTTGTTCAAAATGTGCAGTTTTTATTTATATTTTATTTTATATTATATTTTTATTATTTATAATTTTCTCTGTTCTAAAATAAGTTATAATTTATTCAATATGTCACACGGTAATATGTATATTGATCAATAAATACTACATATTAGTTTTGATTATCAATAGTTGAGGCCATAATCGGATTACATACATCAGAATAAATATTAGCCTAGATTGCTTTCCGTTATTACACACCTCACATAATTCATTTTTATTTAGCTGTATGCTTTTTATAAGTTCAACATCTTAAAACAATCTATTTCGTATAAATTCTAAAAATTTCCCTACACTAATATGGCCCAATCTTTCATGCCACTAGCGATATTCTGCATTATTTTAAATTTTGAATGTATATACTTTACTCCTTAAATAAAATTTCACAATCTGTACATAATACTTACATATCCCTTCAAATGCCAAGTTACCATTTTTAATTTTCAAAGGATCCAAGAAAGTTTTATAACTTTGTCTTCAAAATTGACATCATAAGTACGATTAAACTCTATTGCGGCATCTACGGATCCCGAAATTGCAGATTTATTTGCGGGGCTCTTCCAATCTACTTCTCTTTCGTGGTCTAATTCTAGTTACCTTAATCACTTAAACAGGGCAAAATGTAGTTTTTCTCCTGTAAAGTTCTATCTTAAGTGATTTAGAAACTATAACGCCAACCTATTCTCCGTGGGCCAATTGGACTCCCTGGGTGTGTGCTTAATTTTTGTGCCCGAACTATTTATAAACACATTCTTAAAATTTTTAATTTGTCTATCTCATCACCTGTTTTTCCTACTATCTGAAAAGATTCTTTTATTATTCCACTCCACAAAAAGGGTGCGAAGGTGAATGTTTAGAACTATAGAGGAATCTCCAAATTGTATGCCATTTCCAAAACATTCGAACGCATTATTACCTCTCATTTGCAAAATTTGTGTTCCTTTTTGATATCTCCGTGTCAACATGGTTTTGTTAAGCGAAGAATTGACATCTCGAATTGACATCTTTTGTAATAGATGGATTTAACAAAAAATTGCAGACAGATGTTATATATACAGATCTTAGTAAAGCCTTTTACTCTGTAAACCGCTCTCTTCTTTTGTTCAAATTAGATAAGCTCGGGCTTCCGAATAATCTGTTAACTGGGATTTTAAGTTATTTGAATGATAGATCTCAGAGGGTTTTATTAAAAAACCCTGTTTCTAAGATGATCTACGTGACATCTGGAGTGCCTCAGGGCAGTCATTTAGGCCTGTTTACTCTGTTTATAAGTGATCTTCCCTCTATCGTAACTTACTCTCGTGAAGTAATGTATGCTGATGATGTTAAGCTTTGTTTATCATATAATAATATTAAGTCTGGTTTCTGCTTGCAGTCAGATATTAATAAATTCCAGGAATGGTGTCAGTACAACTGAATTTAAAATATCTTAAATGCAACGTTATGAATTTTGTTTGTACTGCTCTTAGTGCATTAACGTTCAACAATAAATTAAATGATCAAAATAGTAACATTTTAAAGGCATCATTCCTGAATTAAACAAACCTTTTAACGATGGGGACAAACATTAATATTTCAGATTTACGATCAAGAATTTTTTACAACATAGAACAGCAGGACAGTGGAGATTTTTTGCGACAATTATTAAAGTGTCATTCCCTAGCAGGAATAAGAACATTATTTGTATATAAACTTGTGGAATCTTTAAAATTCTCTAACTGCGATTATAGGCCAAATATACAAATATCAGAAAACGTAATTGCTCAACTTTGTGTTTCTAAAGATAGAAAATGCAAAATAAATGAATATTGAAGATAGCGAGTGTGCCCATTGCGGAAACTATTTACAATGTCAGTCCTTAATATAAAATTCAGGGCACGTACTTGTGTTCTCACTTAGTTTAGTCGATGCAGCGAATAGAAAAATAACCAATTTTAATTTAACAAACGCGTCACAAAGTGAGCTTAGATTTGAAAATAAAAGATATATTTTATCAAGTGCCATATTTCACCATGGAAATGCATTAAATGAAGGACAATATACATCAGTTTTAAGAAAAGATGGAACACTTTTCAAAGCTAATGATACAACAATCTCTAAATGTTCTTGGCCACGTAACAGCAAAGATGTGAATATACTGTTTTATGTTGAAAGGTAATTTAAAAATTTGAGAAAAATTATGGGTACATTTAAAGTCTTTGTTAAATGCTAATTGGGCAGTGAAAACATTTCTTTTTTGGACGGCACGCAACAATAAAAAATGTTCGTGTTTGTCAAATCTTTAATATTTCTTTGAAGCGGGCCGAATGAGTAAATTTATAAAGTGTTTTTATTATTTTCTCGAATATAAAATTATTTTGCGTCACAAATTATGATATCAGAACTTTTGAATGTTAAAGGTGCGGTCGTCACGATTTTTATACCCGTTACTCGTAGAGTAAAAGGGTACACTAGATTCGTCGGAAAGTATGTAACAGGCAGAAGGAAGCGTTTCCGACCCCATAAAGTATATATATTCTTGATCAGGATCACTAGCCGAGTCGATCTAGCCATGTCCGTCTGAGCTTCCTACGCAGCGCAAGTTTGTTTCAGTAGACTGCCACGCCCACTCTAACGCCCACAAACCGCCCAAAACTGTGGCTCCTACAGTTTTGATGCTAGATAGAAAATTTTAACTGAAATGTAATGTTCTCATCAATACCTATCGATTGACCCAAAAAAAAGTTTGCCACGCCTACTTTAACGCCCACAAACCGCAAAACCCTGTGACGCCCACAATTTTCATGCTAGATAAAAAATTTTAACTGAAATGTTTTGGTCTCGTCAATACCTATCGATTGATCCAAAAAAAAATTTGGCACGCCCACTCTAACGCCCATAACGCTTAAATCTGTATACCGCCGGTAGGTGGCGCATTTTAATCTCGCTTTGCTGCTTGCATATCTCCATTTAGCTGAGTAACGGGTATCTGATAGTCGAGGTACTCGACTATAGCGTTCTCCCTTGTTTTACCTCGTTAAGAGGTGTTTTTGTTTGATATCAGTAGTTTTTAAAGGGACATTTTATTTCCTAGGCTTGATATATTACAAGCACTGTAGCGCCGCAGATACCCGATACCCAAATACCTCGACTATCAGATTAAAAGATTAAAATGCCCCACCTACCGGCGGTCAACAGATTTAAGCGTTATGGGCGTTAGAGTGGGCGTGGAAATTTTTCAATACATTTCAGTTAAAATTGTTTATCTAGCATGAAAATTGTGGGCGTCACAGGCTTGGGCGGTTTGTGGCCGTTAAAGTGGGCGTGACAAACTTATTTTGGGTCAATCGATAGGTATTGATGAGAACAATACATTTCAGTTAAAATATTTATTTTAGCATCAAAATTGTAGGAGCCCCGGCTTTTGGCGGTTTGTGGGCGTTAGAGTAGGCGTGGCACATTGCTGAAACAATCTTGCGCTGCGTAAGAAGCTCAGAAATCTGCATTGTATTATTTAATTCATATTTATTAGATGTGTGTTATTATCCTCAGAATAAAGTAAAAGATTTGGTTATAGTGGCCAACGGCCAAGCTTGTTCTTTGTTGATTGATGGTCATAATTCGAGTGACTTACAGCTAGCTAATTGCGGCTGCGCTGCCTGCAAACATTGGCAGCGGCCGTCATGTATATATCAAAGTATATGCTCACAATTGTATTTGTGCTGGTAGCACCAAGAGCGCGAGAGCAGTTGTATATGCATGCCTTGTATGTGTCTGCACTCAGGCCATGGGAATATGCTGACACTAGCACTTCCCATAAGTTGGGCTCTGAGGCGCATTCATATTTCGGCTGGCCGCAAGAGTTTAGCGGCCGGCACTTTTGTATTTGGTTGAGTACACTGTAACACAATGTTGGTGTCGGTACAGTGGGTACTCGCTACAATGATACATGCATACTACATCTCCCTCCTTTTGAAAAATAACGTAATGTAATAAAGAATATGTTTGGTTTTTTTTTTAATTTTTTAAAAAATAATAAAAATTAAATTATATATTTGAAAATTTAAAAGTTATAGAAATTATTTTGTATCGTTAAAGAAATATAAGAAAGTTGGAAAACATGTTATTCAAAAATGCTGTTCTAATCAGAAAATATTGATATCTGTTGTTTTTTATATTTATATTTTTTTTTATATGTATGTATTTTTTTTTTTTAAATTTTTTTTTTAATTATTTATTTTTTTATATTTATTTGTGGTATTTATTCTATGTATTTATTCTATGTATGGCCATACGTATAAATTGTATAAAAATTATTTTGAAATAAAAATTTTTAACCTATCTTTATGAACTTTTTGTTCTTTGTTTTTAATATTTGAAATTCTTATATTATCATTATCTCCTATACCAATTACTTTATATGGTCCCGTATATTTGTATTCTAATTTGTGACCTGTTTCATTCTTTAATAAAACTTGATCTCCAATTTTTAGTTCAAAATCTAAACAGTTTCTATCATAGTGACATTTTTGTTTTATTTTATTTGATTCTAATATTAATCTGGCTCTTTTGAAAGCTTGCTCTAATCTAAACTTTGTTTCTTTTGCGTAATCATCTATATTATAAATAGGTTCTATTCTCTCTACGCTATTAAAATGTTTCGGTAAATTCGAAGTCCTACCAAACACTAACTCATATGGACAATAATCATGTGCCATAGAGGGTGTCGTGTTGAAACAATAAACAAAATATTTTAGCCATATATCCCAATCCGTTTTATCAGAGATGTATGTACGTATAAATTCATTAAAGGTTCTGTGGCTTCGTTCCACAGTTCCGACAGTCTGATGATGGTGTGCTGTCGATGTTATATGTTTGATATTTAAGTTTTTGCATAGGTGTTCGATTAAAGAATTTTTGTATTCTGTTCCCATGTCCGTAATGAACGTCTTCATTGGACCGTACTTTAAAACAAATTCTTCGAATATAGCCTTTGCTACCGTTTTTGCATTTTTATTAGGTACTGGTATGGCAACAAGGTATTTTGACAGATCACATATTAAGGTGACTGCATATTCATTTCCTTGATCTGATTTCGGCAGTGGACCGATCGTATCCACAATTACCTTATCGAATACCATTTCTGGTGTTTCTGTAAGTGTTAAAGGAGTTTTTGTATGTCTTGTCGTTTTTGACATTTGGCATTTTGGACATTTACGTATGTACTGTGTTATGTCTTTACTCATTCCTTTCCAATAGTAGTGTCTTTTGACCTTGGCCAAGGTTTTTGTTATACCTGAATGTCCTCCTTGAATAGGGTCGTCATGTAATGTAGACAATATTGCTTCTTTTTCGTTATTAGTTGTTATTAGGGTCACCGGGTTGAGTAGCGCTACTCTTAATGATTTTAATATTTTGTTGCCCATTTTTTTAAATTTATCTATTGAAATATTTTCAAAGATTTTTTCCCATGGTGCCACTTTGAGTTGGGTAATTTTTTGTTTACCAGCCTGCAGTTCAAGCCTTTGGAAAAACTGACCTAAGTCAAGACTTCCATTAGTATACAAATCTCCTACATCATATCTTGCTGTAATTTTTTTTCCATGTTTGAAAAAACATATATTATTATTTACATGCAAGGTCACTACTTTACGTACTTCGTCATTGTTAATGACTTCATATACGTTGGGCTTAGAAGCTTTTACTTGAGATTGCCTAGGCAATTCTACTTTATCTTTTCCTGCGCAGGAATTTTGTCTACTTTTTTGTCTTGTAGTGACTTGTAATATATTTGCCGTAATGTTTTGAAGATCCTTAATTGTTATTCTAGAAAGGGCGTCTGCCACAAAGTTATCTTTTCCCTTTAGATACTCGACTGTGAAGTCGTATTCCTCTAATTCGAGCCGCATGCGCGTGAGTTTTGAACTAGGATTGACCATTGAAAATAAGTATGTTAGTGGTCTGTGATCGGTTTTAACTGTAAAATGTTTGCCATAAATATATGGTCGAAAGTGTGTAATTGCCCAATGAATTGCTGCTAGTTCCTGTTCTGTAGTGCTTTTATTGCTTTCAGCTTTTGTAAATGAACGTGATGCATATGCTAGCGGGAGTTGGAGTCCGTTATGGTTTTGCGTTAATACCGCTCCACATGCTTGTTTACTTGCATCCGTTATTATACAAAATTCTTTAAGGAAATCAGGATATTGTAATAAAGTTGGTTCTATAAGTTTATCTTTTAAATATTGGAATGATTTTTGGCATTCGGGAGACCATTCAAATGGAACATTCTTTTTACATAATCTAGTTATGTGCCGTGAATAGTCTGCGAAGTTTTTAATGAAACGTCTATAATAATTGCAAAATGCTATAAATCGTCTAGCGCTATCTGCATCATGTGGGACTGGATAGTTTCTTATGACATTATATTTCTTGTCGTCTGGTAAGATTCCTTTGTCGGTGCATTTATCACCAAGGAAGGTCACTTCATGCATAAAAAATGAACATTTTTGTGGGTGTAATTTTAAGTTGTACTTTCTGCATATTTCAAAGATGTCTTTTAGGTTTTTGAGCATATGTCTTTCAGAACATCCAATGACTATTAATTCATCCATATAGAGGAATGCTTGAGAAGCTTCAAGTCCAGAAAATGCAATAGTCATCATTCTCTGAAATGAATTTGGGGCTATTTTTAAGCCGAAAGGTAATCGCGTAAAACGATATGAGCCATTGCTCGTTGAAAACGACGTTATGTTTCTTGAATTTTCTTCTAGTTCGATTTGATGGAAACCTGACATTAAATCAAGGCATGAGAAATACTTTGCTCTACCTAGTTGGTCCAAGATGTCATCAATTCTTGGGAGTGGAAATTTATCAGACAGAAGTTTTTTGTTGATTTGACGATAGTCAACTACTAGTCGCCATTTCTTTTCGTTTGAACCCGGAAGGGTTTTCTTTGGGACAAGTAGAAGTGGGCTGTTGTATTCTGATACAGATGGCTCGACTATATTGTCTTTGATTAATTTTCCTACTTGTTTTTGAATTTCCTCAACTTGGCTGTGCGGGCTTCGACAATTTTTTATATAGATCGGTTCATCGTCCTTCAATCTCAGTTTCTGCTTGTAAAAATTGTTTGTTGTTATTGATTCGGTTTGAAGACCGAATACGTCAGTATATTTTCCACATAGTTCCGTTAATTGTTGTTTAAATTGAATTGGAAAATTTTTCTTCAGTTCTTCTATGATGTTTTGCTCTCTATTACTTGAAATGTTTTGAATTACATTATAATCGGAAATTGGTTCACATTTTAAATTTGTTATACTAACCAATTGATCAGTACTGGTTGTGTTGAGTAATCGGACAAATGTATTCTCTTTTGATGTGATAGTATTTGCAACGTAAATACCAGGTTGAATCTCCTGATTTGGTATTAATATAGTATCAGTATCGGACATTACTTTGATTTTTCGTACTACTTGAGATCTGGCTGGTAGTAGAATTGTATTATTACCAGAAGTATATGTTATTGGGATATAAATATGAATGTCTATATTATTTGGTCTTATTATAAACCAATCCTCTGTAGGGTTAAGATCTATTTGACAGTTTAATTCTTTTATAAAATCTATTCCTATTATTCCATCACATGGAATCGCAAAATCTTTATTTACTATATGAAAATTGTATGGAATTATATATTTGTCTGTTTGGAGTTCTACTGGTGCAAGTCCTTTGGATTTTATGATTCCCTCGCCTATTCCTTGAATATTTATTGTATTTTTTATTTGTATGTTGCTAAAGGTATCTGCATTTTCTTTTAAAAGTGAAATATTTGCTCCCGTATCCACAAGGAACGTAAGCTGCCTTCCTGTTTCTGAATTAATAAATGGTACGAAGATATTGAGATTGAGGTTTATGGTATATACCGTTGGTATTTTTAATTTATTGTATCTAAAGGGGTCTGCGAGTTTCCCGAAACTGGCTGGGTAAAGCGGACATTATTGTTGTGTTGTGTGTTGCCGTAATTGCCTGTATTTTGGTTATTATTGTTTTGTCTATAATTTCCACGACCTCTACTATAGTTATTGGTCTGGTTATTATAGTTTCGATTAAAACCATTATTTTGGTTGTAACCGCTATTTCTGTTGTAGCTGTTATATTGGTAATACCCATTATTTTGGTAGTTACCACGACCATTTCCTCTACCTCTACCACGGTTGTTACTTCTGAAGTTGTTACCTCTATAGGCCGTTCCTTTTCTGGCAAATAGTATTGCGTTTGCATTACCCGTCATTTCCGTACTACACTGTATATATTTGGTGAGAGCCTCATTCATTGATGAAAAGTTGCCTGCCTCAAGTATTGTTTTGAGTCGGCCATGCTCACAATTTTTGACCATTGTGTTTATAGCCTCCTTGGTGCTGAATTTGTGCTCATGTTTAGCGGGTAATCCTTCATCAATATACGAAGCTTCGAGTAGCTTTCGTAAATTGTCAACTTCAGTTGTGAATTTTTCAGCTGTTTTTCCTTTTTGAGTAGTTTTAGCCATTTTTGCTTTGACTACATCGGATGTTTCGCCGATAATTGTGTCTTGTAATTTTTTTATAATTCCGTTTATAGTGGATTCGTTTTGAACTTTGTACAAGGTTGAGCCAACTATTTTTGATTTTATGACTTCAACTGCTATTTCTTCAAATGTGCCTTTGGTTAGGTTTACTAATTTCAAGGCTGTTATGAATCTTTGAAGGTTGATTTTTTGTCCGTTGAATTCAGGGATAGCATTTGCTATATCCTTAATATATGCCCGTTGGGCAACAGTTTCGTCCGTCATTGTTCTTATTTGGTGTTGTTCGATTTCGCAATCGGATTCAATTGTTTCCTGATCTGATAATTCAGATTGAAAAAGTACAGCTGGAATTGTGAGATTATTTAAATCTTTCTCTTCTACTTCTGGGCTGTCAAATTCAGATTCTTCTACCTATACTGAGTCGACTTCTGGTGGATCTGATGATTCCAATTTGTCCCCAGTTTCTACTTTCAGAGGGGTGTTCAGAATGGTCGGTATTGAAATATTTAAGTTATACCTTTCTTTTATAGTTATTAGGTTTGATCGAAGTCTGGTTAGAAATTTTGATACTTCAGACCAACGATTTTTATCTAGTCGATCTTTTTGCTCATGTATTAGTATACGCGCATTGTTGAAGCGAGATACTAATATTTCCGCATGTTTATTTATAGTGGCTTGTTGTATTGATCTATTTTGCGTTAATGATTTATATGATTTATCGAAATCGCTTTTTAATTTATTTAGATCCTTATATAATTCACTCCATTCCATTATAATATGGATATGAATTATTCTTGTACACCACTGAAATTCTAGCACTACCTAATATGTCATTTTCGCTTACAATTGTTCTCACGTGGACACCCGGGATGGTGCTTAATACCATCGCTTTTTGTTTATTAGAGCAATGTATTAATGGTGAGCTTTCTAGATTATATGTTGACATATATAAATTTTCTAACTCATAGATAGTAATTGGGGTCGTTGAGACCAATGTGATAATTCTTTCACTAAAATATTGATCCCTCATATAGGTATTGAAAACTGCCTCTGCATTCATTCTGTTTGTTTTGTTTATCTACCTATACTTGTGGCCATAATAGAAGAAATTGTAAAATTTTGTTTTTGTTTTTTTTTTTTTTTTTTTTATATATTTTTTAAAGTAAAATTTTTTTGTTTGCTTTCAATAATTCTTGAAATTATAACTGGCAAGTTTTATTTTGTATCTCTTTTTTTTTTAAATTTTATCCAGGTCGTTTGCTCGACTCTGGAATCTTTTCTTCAAACACCTATTGTGTAATTTATAGATTTTTAGAAAAACACTTGCTGACATTATAATTACAATTATTATTAATAGTATGGTTATTGTTTCTAAATCAATATTTTGAGATTCTACTTTATTAACGACGTTCGCCGTTGAATCGACAACTTTTGTGTCTACAAAACCCATTTTGGGAATGTTTTCCAAAATTCTATATTTTATGCCAAGTATGTATGGCGAATCTTTTGTTTTAGATAAACTGTTATTCATAAAGAGAAATTTGGAAAGAAAAGGAAATGTTTTGGATAGTAATTTTTCACATGGCAGATTTACAATTTGTCGCTCTATATAATTAAAATATCTGCCATATGATTTTAGTACAAAGCCTAACAAGGGGTTAGTAGTTTTCAAGCAGCGTTTTCACGCATCGGCTTGAGTGTAAGATTTCAATATTAAGGTAACTTAGGCATTGGCAATTAATGCAGCCTGGTTACGTTACTTCGCACCAATACGAAGTTTGTCCTCAATTTTTGTTAATTCGGCCTTGTGTATTTGTGTTTCTTCAGATGTCGCTGCCGTCTTTATTAGGTCCTTAGCCAACCTCCGTTGGCGCAAGAGTTTACTTCTCCTGCCGCTCCTCTTCTTCTTTGGTTTGTCCTTCTTCTGCTGGCGTGCCCTGTACTCAGCTATTGTGAGGGGGTGTGGTCCATCGTTGGGGCACACCTCTAGAGCTTCTTTTAGACTCGGTGCATCCCTTTGCTCGACAGGAGCAGCTTTGTCCAGTCCAACGTCGTCGTTTATGTTCATTACTTTTCCAACGTAGGTGTAGGAGGAATTGCCATGCCTCCCACTCTTTTTTTTTTCTCTTGTGGTCGTCCCTGGCCTATGGGTTTAGGCGGCGCCGGTGCTGGTCCTCGCACAGGCAGTAACGTAGATTATTTATTTAATAGCTTTTCCTCTCTTCTGGCTTCCCTCGCGTTTCTTCAACTTTGTTTTGTCTTCGGATTTACATAGCCCCCTTTATCGTAGGCGCTTGCTCTTCTTTCTGACCATTAGATTCTCTCATCAATATCACTTTCTCAGCATTTGCATCATATTTCTCTAACATTTGCTTGTTGTACAATCTGTACCATCACCATTTTCTTCAATTTTTGTTGCTGGTGCACTTATTTTGGTTTGTTGTACACAATTCGCACTTCAAATTAAAACTTTGTTTGCTTCGACATCACTGTCACGGTCGCCATGTATTATTTAAATCATATTTATTAGATGTGTGTTATTATCCTCAGAATAAAGTAAAAGATTTGGTTATAGTGGCCAACGGCCAAGCTTGTTCTTTATTGATTGATGGTCATAATTCGAGTGACTTACAGCTAGCTAATTGCGGCTGCGCTGCCTGCAAACATTGGCAGCGGCCGTCATGTATATATCAAAGTATATGCTCACAATTGTATTTGTGCTGGTAACACCAAGAGCGCGAGAGCAGTTGTATATGCATGCCTTGTATGTGTCTGCACTCAGGCCATGGGAATATGCTGACACTAGCACTTCCCATAAGTTGGGCTCTGAGGCGCATTCATATTTCGGCTGGCCGCAAGAGTTTAGCGGCCGGCACTTTTGTATTTGGTTGAGTACACTGTAACACAATGTTGGTGTCGGTACAGTGGGTACTCGCTACAATGATACATGCATACTACAGCATGCCAAATCTCAATAGCCTATCTCTTATAGTTTCCGAGATCTCAGCGTTTATCCGGACAGACGGACATGGCTAGATCGACTCGGCTAGTGATCCTCTTAAAGAATATATATACTTTATGGGGTCGGAATCGCTACCTTCCCTAATAAATACAACTGGAATATTCTTCGATTTCTCCACTCGCCCAATTGGACTTAGCGCTGAACTAATCTTTGTGGCTGCAAGCCGAACTTTTGCTCTCGTTATTTTATAATTTAAGACTTAACAAGACACTTTAGAAAACACTTCTTGACTGTGAGACGGTCGAAATTGGAAAGACCGATTATGCCGCCATATTTCTGCCTGTAACCCCATAGCGAATCTGGGAGGTGCCACAAATCAGGTTGACATTAAGGTCTGTTGCTCTCCTCCCCCTTTCTGCATGCACCCCACCTCCTCCCAACTTACGATATTCACTACAAGCGCTACACCTGACGCATTCGGACCCCTATGATGGCCATGTTGAAATGACGAAGACCTTGGACACCCTGCGACGTTAGTTCTATTGGCCAGGAATGCCTATCCGGGGTTGCGAGGTGTGCAAACTTCAGGATGCAGGTCGGAATCGGACGAAGAGTAGGGACGGAAAGGCCATTCCAGAAACTCTACATCGATTTTCTGGGCAAGTATCCGAGGTCCAAGAGTGATCACGCGTGGATATTCATCGTGGTGGGCCATTTCTAAAAGTACACCTTCTTAAAGGCGATGAAGGAGGCGACGGCGACGAACGTAGTGAATTTCCTGGTAAACCAGATATTTTACAAGTTTTACGATACATTCGGACAACGGCAAACAGTTCGTATCCAAGGCGTTTGAGGAGATGATCGATGGCTTCGGTATACAGCACATGAAGACTCCAGTATACTCACCACAGAGCAATGCCGCGAAGAGAGTTAACAGGAATGTCTTGACCGGGAATGTCACCGGGAATGGGATGCACACCTGCCGGAGATTGAGGTGGCCATCGTTCTTCACCGTATTTGGCCATCAGTTACAAGCTAGCCAGACGACTCAGGTCCCTGGTCGACCATGAAATTGCCGGAATGCAGACCAAGGACAAGCTTCAAATAATCCAAGCCAAAGTGCAGAAGCAACTGGAGGGGGCATACGAGATGAGCCGGCAACGCTATGATAAGCGAGCCCGTACGTTGCTCGCCAAGCCGGGGCAAGAAGTCTTCCGCCGCAACTTCGTGCTAAGTGATTTCAGCAAATCTTTTAACGCCAAGTTTGCTCGCAAATTCTTAAAAGCCAGGGTGGTCAAATCCGTCGGCAGCAATGCATTCTTGCTGGAGGAGTGTAGTCTGGGAGTGTATCACGCCAAAGACATCCGGTTGTGATCTGAAATAAGGAGAAACAAAGTATACGAGCATCGCGATCACATCTGCTAAAGTTCCCGTCATGCGTGGACCCGCCTTAGGCGCCGATCGAACTGCAGGATGGTATCAGTGCCGTGTTGAGTCCCATCCTATCTCCAAAGGTACCAATTATTTCGTCGTTCTGCTGAAACTCCGGGAAGCACCTCTCGAAATCTTTGGTTAATGTTGCAATTGGAGTCGATTATGGGACGAACTCTATCGACAGGTTAGGTCGATAGGGCGATCTGGTTATTTGAGGATTAATCGCGGTTCGCTCTGAGATTACCTTAAATGGCACTCATGTATCCAATGACCCAATTTTGGGAGAGGTCATGTAATATGGTGGGGGAGGAACGAAGATGATCAGCAGATATCAGTATAGTCGCAGCTATATTGACTAACCAGGCAGATGCAGCTGAAAGTTTTAAGATACAACTTTTGTGAGTGATAGGAAAGTTAACATGTTAGTTTGTTATTTATTAATAATCATATATAGGGTAGCCGGGGTCCCAACACAAAGGGCCCCGGGATATTTACTTGGGAGTTCCACGGATTTCTGCGCGATTTCGCCATTCATATCAGCCACGATTTGGCTGCCAGCAACCGGTGTCCGTTCGATCCGCCATAAAAGTGACCGTGACCAGCCATAAACGCCTTTCGCAGTCGACGCCGACGACATCCAGCATTTCCCGGTGAGTCCGATCCGGAATACCACGTACCGCCGATTTGTCTGGCAGCCGAACTTTGGACTGCCCTTGCGCAACGCCAGTTTTTGTTTGCTGAGACCCGTATTACTGCTGGCCTCCGGCGAGAAGTCTCCAGCCCGGGCTATAATCGCCCTCCAGGCCCGGACCAATAGTGGCTGAAATTTAGGGAAAATTAAATACATTTGTACCTGGATTACTATATTTACTTCCCTGACTAATTGTGAATTTATCCGGATTTAGACCCGAGAGCCTTATTTGTCCTCGTCGTTTGCCATACACACACGCATCGCGTATGTTCCTTTTGAGGCTCTACCAATAAGTGACTGGTAGAGCATAACTTTCCGCGACGCCTGTTGCCTTTTTCCAGCAAAACAAATCCTCTGCTTTGACCGCGTTAATATTTATGACGGCGGACAAGTATTCGGCTGAGGAAGGATAGATCGGTTAAGAGGAGCATGAATAAAAATGATTGTACTTACCATATTCATTAAACATTTGTAAAAACCACAATGTGTGAGTGATTTTTTGGGGGAGATGGAACTGTCGTAGTCGCGAGGAAGGGGCTCCTACCGACCGAGAATGGGTTGTGCCCTGCAGCATCTTAAGGGCATCCATGGCTAGGTGGGAGCGCTTGGCTAGGTCATCGATAGCAACCAAATTTAATCAATTTTTCCGTCAATATTTGAAGGTATGTATCTTGGTTTACGTTTTTTTGTTCTTAGTGATGACCGATAGTTTAGTGATGTGAGACAGCAGAGTTGTCGATATTTATGTTGCGAGCTGTGGCATTAGGGGTACACTGCCCTGAGATAAGACTGAGCTAGCGGCACTGCCATCGAAAAATATGCAGTTCGTACCATTCTTAATGTCAACTACCATCTACATGCCAATTATTCAAATCGGACAGTCTCCTTCGCACTCCCCTTAGCTGAGTTACACTTGCTTTAAAGTGTGTTTGCGAATAAAAGGCTTTTCTCAAAGAGGGGGTTTCCGCTTCAGCGACATAATTGGACTGCAATGTCGCCGTTATAAGATAATTGTTGTTCCTTAAATTGCTGGTGCCATTTCAAGCGGATTCTTATTCCAGTTGAGTATAGCTAAAGCGAACGGCTAATCGGCATAAGAAAACCGTATCCGAAGGGATAGGACGTGCAAAGTTGCTCCGAAAAAAATAAAACGCCAAACCTAATACAGTGTAAACGCTAGCATGTGCAATGCTGATGATGAGATTTTCACTTAGGCAAGTGTAGGAACGTAGGACGCCATGAGAATTTTCGCAAGTTATAACCAATTTGAGCTTTTAAGTATTTATAACACCTTCCTCGCCTTTAACTGGTTTTTTCTTTAGATTAAACAGGTCTTGCCAAGAAGGACATAAGCTGGAGGTTGGTCAATTTCTTAAAAAAAGAGCATATTAATACTTCATTTCATGATAAGATCAATTGCTGGATTCTAAGCCGTTGGAAGGCTCCTTGGGTCTGCACCAACAAGAATTTCCTTGTAAGGGCACCATTGCAGATCAAATGCATTTCTTTTTCAAAAAATATCGCAAAACGTTTAACACAAAAATTACGTGAGCTCGATAAAATTCTTAATAAAAACACTGGAATATTTATGCCAGTTGTACCTACTTTTCCCCTTTTATTTATAACAAGTGTATTTCTTATGGAAAAAAGTCGCTGAAGCGGAATTTGGTTGCTGAAGACCCCCTCTGTGTGAATAGGGTACAAGGTTCGTCAAACTTGGATGACGGACTAACTTGAAATTTTCAGAACGGAAAACCTTATGAACAACCCGTTCAACGAATGGTCGATGGTAAATAGATGGAGGATATTAATAACCAACATCCAACCAGCTCTCAAGATATAATAGTTTGAGACTATAATCCGAGCGATGATGAAATATATATTGACGATTCATTAAATATAATCTAATTGTAAATATGTATGTATATTAAATTTGAATTTATTTTTCGTTATTAACGAAAAACAAACAACACCTTATTTTATAAAATGGTCTTACTCATGTTGCTAATTAAAGCTATAACTGAGAAAGCCTAAACTACGTTCGCCCTTGGCCTGCTTCTATCTCAATCGCAGAGAACATTTTTTCGCTCGGTTGGGTCATGTGTTGACTCGAGACAGTTTTCTTCCTAGATATAAGTTCAGATAATTAAGTTCTGTAATAAAGCCTAGTACTCATATCGACGAAAACCGCGGGCTAACCATAGAAGTGAGTGAGAGGCGAATACGCGGCTAACGCTTTTCGTTGGGTCTGTTTTTCAGCGCGGTACTCAGATGAGCTAAGGAAATACCAGAAAATATACCAAATTTAGCGAATGAATTTCAATAATCGCCGTTAACCGCGGGCCATAGAATAAGAAATTTAATCTTTGGCGGTGTTCGTACAAAAGTAGTGATGATTTTCAAAATTAAAAATGGAAGAAATCCCCAAAAACGCCTAATGGAGGTCAGTGCAGATTTCAACGTCAGGAAGCAATACGACAACAGGACAAATCCGCAGAATAGTTGAAGTGCTGGAGGAGATCCACTAGAGAATCCCAGTGGGAAGGAACATGCCGAGAGGGACTTTGCTCCCTACATGGACATCATGCCGATCGTTTCTTCGCAAAGAAAGTAAGATCTGGTCAAAAGAATTTGTTTGCGTTGCACTAATAGCGATCTCTGACGACCTCTCCATTAGGACTCTGGACACCACCACCACCACCAGGTACTTGGCAGCTTAAGCGGAGCTGGAGGACCCACTGGCTTCTATGGGAAGGAGGAACAAAGGGCGCCCGCTAAGAAAAAGTTAAAAAAGCAGCGGAACAGCGGATTTTCCGTATACAAAAAGTGGGGGCAAAAATGAAATTACCTACGTCTCCACTCCTAGAGGTTGTACCAACATGCACGGTGTATGGGTAGATAAGGGATCGTCTTGAGCACGTTTCGGGAAAATTTCATAAAAATGAAGCCCACAGTTTTTGAGAAAATTGATTTACAGTGGTGGTGTTAAACACATAGAATTTTTAAATTTGTCGTTTCACACTGTCCACGCCAGTGAGACTACCCTGACATCAACCATTAAAGTATAAATATTTTCTATGCAAAATTTAATTAATTCATACAACTCTCACAGAGGTTGTGCCAACTTGCACGGTATCGCATTCGAAGGGGAACAATTTGAGCTAGTTTTTGAATTAAACCCACAGTTTTCAAGAAATTCAAGTCTTTTCAATTATTGCTTTTCCCACGCGGTTACACTGTCCAGAACAGCGAGAAAGCGAATTCAATCAAGACATTTACCACAAAAAGGTATTTTTCGAAACATCTAAATTGTATCCAATTTGAGGTTGCCATTGGCAAGCACAACAATTAAAATTGTAATACACATTATACAAAAATTCCTTATTATACCCGTTACTCGTAGAGTAAAAGGGTAAACTAGATTCGTCGGAAAGTATGTAACAGGCAGAAGGAAGCGTTTCCGACCCCATCAAGTATATATATTCTTGATCAGGATCACTAGCCGAGTCGATCTAGCCATGTCCGTCTGTCCGTCTGTCCGGATGAACGCTGAGATCTCGGAAACTAAGAGAGCTAGGCTATTGAGATTTGGCGTGCAGATTCCTGAGCTTCTTACGCAGCGCAAGTTTGTTTCAGTAGACTGCCACGCCCACTCTAACGCCCACAAACCGCCCAAAACTGTAACTCCTACAGTTTTGATGCTAGATTGACCCAAAAAAAATTTTGCTACGCCCACTCTAACGCCCACAAACCTCCAAAGAAAAAAGCTATGACGTCAGAGCCAGACAATGCGAAATGTTTTTACGCGTGTATGTGTGTGTATGTACCCTGCAGTTCCACAATTGAGTTAAGCGCCCAATCATCACGAAGCCGACTGCGACGTCGGCAGAGAAGCCAGCGACGCCGGCAGAGCTGAGCGCAACGGCGGCAAAGCGACGCGCTCTCAGTCGGGTCCGCAAAGAGAACGCACAAAAAGTAATTTTGGGCTTTCCCTCTCTCGCCATGTCTCAGACGGAAAAGTGCGTGTGATGGGAAGGAGGCCCAGCAACTAAAATATATAGACTTTTGTGCACCCTTGCCTTTTGAATAATGCGACATTTGTTCGTAAATGATAAAAGAACCATTTAAAATAAAAGGTTTCTGTTTTAAAATATTTGTATTTCTTAAACAAATTTATAGGTTTATTAATATTATTTAATAATATGTGAAGTTTTAAGAATATATTTTTATAAACCGATTTGCAAAGTCGGATATGTCTATAAATACCCTGCTTTTATGTGCAAGATGCATAGACCAAACGGGACATGCCAAAAAAACAGAACAACAACGGATTAGCGGAACCGTTGTTGTTGTTGCTTGTTGTTTTTCTGGAAGGCACGCTACTTTTTTCGTCTTTTTCACTTGGGTTTACTTATGTGAAGGAGTTAGAATTGCACGCAATTAAGGTAGTTAAATAAAATAAACCAGTGGTTTAAAAGTGATACCTATACGATTCCCAGGTAAGTCTGTCGCAGACCAATATTTATTTAATCAGTGAGAGTAAAAACAAATTAAAGTATATTGAAAAAATGGAAAATAGAAGATTCCCAAAAAAACACGTGGCGGAAAAAAAATAGCTGTGAAAAATATTAATTTTTGACGTGAAAAACAACAAACGATGCATATAAATAAACAAATTAATGAATCTGTGAAAAAATTTGAAAATCTTATTGAGTGATAAGTTCCTAGGGACCAAAAATATGAGATGTTCGTTTTTATAACTTATGATTTTTTGTATTAATAACATTAAAGCACAATTTTTATTTTTGTGTAAGTCATGTTCGTTTACATGACTATTTAAATAAAAATCTCAAACATCTCTAATTTTCCGTCCCTGGAAAAGTGGTATTTTTTCCGCATCTGCAAAATAAATAAATGATTTAATAAATAATAAAAAAAATACATAAATAATTTTTTACAACAAAATATAATAGATCAAGTGACCGAAAACAAAAGTTTGCAAATTTCTTCTCGATATTTTTTTAATTTTCTTATATTTTTAGACAAGGCTGATGGTAAATCTATAAAAAAAATGGAAGGCTAAGTCCTTCCATCTTAAGCATATTATCCGAGGAACTTGTTCTGTCCCACAACTTGGAGGGGGGCAAAACAAGAAGAGGCTCAGACTACCCAAATTTCGCCGTGCCCTATTAAGTAAGTTTTTGTTGAGGCTGAAAACTATTGTTTGTAAGTTTAATTTTTAAAAGACTTGTGGGATTTTTACATTGAATGCCAAAGATAACATTTCTTTTATTATAAATAAATCTTACAAATAACGATTACTTTCGGTCACTCGTTTTTATTCTCGTCTTGTTTTATTTTTAAAACTAATTTTTTTCTAATACTAGATGCAATCGCCCTGGTGGATCCCTCGGAGCCTCCCGAAAAGGCGCTGCAGAAGGCAATGCAATGCGTTAAAAACTTGAGTTGTACCAAAAAAAAGGCAACGCCGGCACCAGATGCTGAGAAGGAGGTGCCAGCGACCCCGATAACACCGGAAACCCCCGAGCTCAAATTTTAAAATAAACAAAAAAAAATAAAAATTACAACTGAAATTTTATTTGCTGCTAAGCGCTCAACGTGTGCTGAATGTGCGCTTTTTCGCTGCTTGAATGAGCGCTCAACGTGTGCTGAATGTGTGCTTTTTCCGCTGCTTAATCGAGCGCTCAACATGTG